GCACACATCGTATTCTGGGGTCAGGAAAAAACACTATTGATCTGTGACTGCTGGATATTAAAACAGTGATTGGTTAATGGAGCGATGATAACTGTTTTTTTTTATTTTAATATATATAGAAACATTTTGATTTGAAAATTATAAAATAAGTTCTAAAATTTTAGCGTATGCATTTTAGAGTCTTGTATCGACATTATAACATAAAATATATACATATATATATACATATTATAATAATAAAGCAGGCTTAGGCAACCTATGACTCTCAAGCAGTTGTGAAACTACACCCAGTCAGGGGCGGACTGACCATTTGGAAACTCGGGCACTGCCCGAGGGCCCGGGGTCAGTAGGGGGCCCCATGAGATGCCCTTGGTACCTTTATCATAGGCTTTTTTGAGTTTGGGCAAGGACACAGGGGCCCCATGATCCCCTATTGCCCGGGGCCCCATGAGTTGTCAGTCCACCCCTGCACCCAGTACAACCAATATCATGTCTTTTTTTAAAACCATTATAAATGAGCCTTGTTGGGGTTATGCTCACTTTATCTAGCCAATCAGGTTTTCAGAAATTGTCTTTTTTAATCTTCCAATAGTAAGCATCAATTCACACTATGAACTGCAAGTGAATCGCACAAGAACCCCACAGCCTTCACACGTGATTCAGTTGGACGCAATTTGAACGGGCTCAAATCGCACTGCATACACAAAAGACGTGCATCCACTAATTTTGGAGCAACACTGCAACCAGATCGCATGATCTTTTGTTCCATGTGACTTGGTGCAGGCAAATGCACTTCATTTGCGACCTGCGTTTGGCGTGTTGTTAAGATCGCACTGACACCTACTGCAGATCGCAAGGGCAGTGCAATTGGAATACAGTGTGGGAAATAAGCACAGATCACAGGGTTTCCTGCACCGCATTAGTGTGAACCTCTTATTTGAAACTATCATAAGTGGGCCTTACTGGGTTTGTGCTTGTTTTAACTAGCCAATCAGGTTTGCAAAAACTGTCTTTTTTAATTTCCCATAGCAAGTAAATGTATTAGATGGGGTAAAGCATATATTTTAAAGCCGACCTCTATATAGATACAAGGACTTGTTCACACAGGCGGTTGGGAGGGGGGTGGTAAAAGCAGGCAGTTTACCACTTCTGACCACCCACCTGAACAAGGTGCTGCTCAGGGCTGTACAAATCCTGTTACTGTGATGCTTTGGCGCTGCTGCAAACATTAAATGCTACATGACCATTTTGCGGCCAGTACTGCCACCAAACATGGCCCATTTGAGTGAATGAGGGCATTCCACAACCACCCTGCAACTGCAGTTGCGGTGTGGTGAGTTGGCAATTTCAGGGTTAAAGCAGGAGGTAAGGAGGTGACATATCACCTCCTATCAAATGCCCTCTGAAAAGCGCTTCACTGTGTATCACTTTTTGCCAATAATAGTTGCGCATCTAAAACAGCCCTTAAAACACAAATTAATGTGATCACTAATACATCAGTCAGGCTAGGTTCACATCTATGTTTGCCAGGAACGCTCGGCAAATTGTGTGCTTTCCTGAAAAAGGCGCTCCCTGAAAATGAGCCTGGGCCCAATCACACCAGGTAGCAATGGGCTGCCGTGCCTCTTGAAACGCAGGGAAAAGGTTGTTGCTTCATTTTAGAAATCACATCCTAGTGTGGTTCACAGTGTGGGAAGTGGCACTGCAATTTCCAGCGTGTGTGGGTGCCATTTGCATTAATTGCACCCGCATGCATCTCCTGCATTTTACTGTGCGGGTGGTTGCGGCTGCAGGAACGGGGGTGGTCCCGCAGTGGCAATCACCCACACAGGTGTGAACCTATGCTTAATGTAATGTATTTAAAAAATGCCAGCAATATAAGCACCTAAATCTGACCTGGTATCAGCATCTTACAGGTCCTTTACAGCAGGGCTGGAGTATGAGGGTATTAAGCAGCCAAGGAGCCAATCAGTTCATGTATTGACAAGCATGCTGATAGAAGGATAAAGCGGAGTGAGATGAGTTTCCTTACCGTGCCCCTTCTTTTACTGTTCAGCCACAGGCTGAGAGTAGATACAGGACAACCTGGTCTCAGAACAAAGTGGTTGAATAATGCTGGCCATCAGACTGAGGACATCTAGTGGCAGAAGAAAAGTATTGCGGGGGAAATCTCTGGATTAATGAATATTGCAGAAAAGGCTGGTTTTGCTTTTTTATCCGTACACAGGCTATTCATTTTTATCTGGAGTCCTGCATTAAATGATAGCTGCACCATAGTTAGGCAAGTAGAAGTCTAAAAATCCAGTAAAATTGCAGCGTGATCCCTCTCTTTGTATTTGTCTGATCGACACTCTTGCCTTGCAGCGTTTAGATACTGGATACAATTCCCAAAGGATACTATCAGTGTGGAGTTTGTGTTTGGATGTGTTCTCCCTATGAAGGAGATTTACTAAAACTGGAGAACTCACAATCTGGTGCAGCTGCATGGTAGCCAATCAGATTCTAACTTCAGCTTGTTTAACCGTTTCTGCTCCGCCCTATAGCAGGAATACAGCTACAGTGCGGTATGGGTGTGCAAGATCACTTATTTCACGTAAAATCATAGTGGCCTCGGCTGAAAATCACCGGCTCCTGCCCGGTGATTATGCGCCGGCACCCGGTGATCGCCGAATATCTCTGACGGGGAGAGACTTGTGTATAAACAACACAGATCTCTCCCCTGTCAGCTCCTGCACACTGCTTTGTACATAGAGCCATACAAAGCAGTGTGCTTACAGTGAAGCACACACACAGCTCAAGTAGTGAAACAGCACACAGTTAACCCTTTGATCACCCACATGTTAACCCCTTCATGCCCAGTGCCAGTAGTACAGTGTCAGTGCTTTTAGTTAGCACTGATCATTTTATTGGTATCACTGGGTATGTCAGTGACACCAACTCAGTTCCCCCCAGTGTCAGAATGCCCACTGCAATCCCGTATTGGGATTTTTTTTTTAGCAAAGACATGGAGCAGAATACATTTGGGTCTAAATTTATGACGAAATTTGATTTTTTAAATTGTTTTGCTGGACATGTTTTATAGCAAAAAGTCAAAACTATATTTTTTTTTTTTCAAAATTGTTGGGTATTTTTTGTTTATAGCGTAAACAATAAAAAACTCAGAGACAATCAATTACCACTGAAAGAAAGCTCTATTTGTGGGTAAAAAAGGATGCAAATTTCATTTGGGTGCAGCGTTGCATGACCGCGCAATTGTCAGTTAAAATAATGGAAAAAATGGCCTGGTCAGGAAGGGGGAGAAATCCTCTGGAGGGCAAGTGGTTAATTACCCGGAAATGCAAAATCATGTGCAGAGGCGAACTGACCATTTGGAAACTCGGGCACTGCCCGAGGGCCCGGGGTCAGTAGGGGGCCCCATGAGATGCCCCTGGTACCTTTTTCAAAGGCTTTTTTGAGTTTTGGCAAGGACACAGGGGCCCCATGATCCCCTATTGACCGGGGGCCCCATGAGTTGTCAGTCCGCCCGATTATTTGTATATATATACGTGATTTTGCGCACCCCTGGCACTCTGTAGCAGTATATCTTCTATAGGGCGGCAGGAAAGCTGTTAAGCTTTGACAAAAAAACCTGGAAGCTGATCGGTTTGTCTGCAGAGCTGCACCAGAATTTGTACTTTCTAGTTTTAGTAAATAACCCCCTATGGGTTATAGTATATTCTCAAACTTGTGTGTGTAGAGGGAGGAGGGCTGGTATGGGTTTCCTCTACAGCAGGGGTCTCCAAACTAGGAGGGCCAGACTTTGGCCCTTTGGTGTAAAAAAGGCCCCCATGTCAGTGGGAAAAACTAGTGCCCTATTGTTTGGTGTCATTGGGAGGAATTGTGCCCCACATTGGACCCCATTGTTGGTGTCATTGGGAGGAATTGTGCCCCATCGCTGGTGTCATTGGGAGGAATTGTGCCCCATCGCTGGTGTCATTGGGAGGAATTGTGCCCCATCGTTGATGTCATTGGGAGGAATTGTGCCCCATTGCTGGTGTCATTGGAAGGCGTTGTGCCCCCTTCATTGGTGTAAATGGGGGGAATTATGCCCCATCGTTGGTGTCATTGGGAGGAATTGTGCCCCATTGCTGGTGTCATTGGGAGGAATTGTGCCCCATTGCTGGTGTCATTGGGAGGAATTGTGCCCCATTGCTGGTGTCATTGGAAGGCATTGTGCCCTCTTCATTGGTGTAAATGGGGGGAATTATGCCCAATTGCTGGTATCAGTGGATTAAAGTGTCCCAAGGGCCGGATAAAGGCAAGCAAAGGGCCACCGGGCCGCAGCTTGGAGACCACTGCCCTATAATATGATCTGAGATAGAAATATATTCCGATTTGTGAAATGATGGGATGACTGGTGTGGCTACTTATTAAACCTTGCAGCCAATCGCCTTCAGCCTGGGTTCACATATATGCGGTGCATTATATCGTATGTGATTCGCAAAGGAATGGACCGCATTCCTGTGCCAATCACGTGATTTGTGTGTGGTGCGATTGGAGCCATACATTATGTATGGCTCTAATCGCACCGCACCAAAAACGTGCGGGACCCTTTCTTGGGTCCGCACTAGAATCGGATCGCATGGGTATTCACACCTATGCTGATTCTGCACATCGCACTGCGTTTTGCGGACCGCTTTCGGGGTGTTGTTAACGTAACATGCACACTTGCAGCGGTTCACATGAACGGGGTGCGATTCTGATGCGGTGCGGAATTTGCACAGAAAACGCTGCAAATTATGCACCGGGCTCAATATTCATTTATTCAGCACCTTCCATAGAGCACATCCTGTCCATGATAAACGTGTTTTATTCTGCGCTCATACGTGTCATACAATGTTTTCACTTCTGCACACACTGAGGCCTCCTCCTGTCACGGTGTCATGGAAGATGGATTTTTTTCCTCCTCTCCACATAATATGAAAGAGTTAAATGTGAAAGTGCAAAGGGCAGAGGGAAGCATGCTCAGATTACAGAGAGGGGGCAGCCTGGGTGGAGGAGGGGGGGATAGACTCTCCAACCCCAATACTAGATCAGCCTGGCTGAGTGTGACATGCAGTACAGATCCCCTCCTCACTCCTCGTCCACAAAGAGCTATACAGTACAGACACCTAGCTGTCACATTGTATATAGAGCAGGCAGATCACGGTGCAGGGGAGTTCTGTGAAGGGGATGGACACAGCATGGCCCCATGTGATGAGGACCATTTACTAAAGGAGTCCAGGAGGTGCACTGAAAAAGAGAAGGATCACTTGAATGATCCAATCACCATTATTCACCAGGGATTGCTGTGTACATGATTGGATGATTGAAGGGACTCTTCGCTCTTCCTCTAGTCTGCGTTCCCAACTCACATTGTGTGCAAGTGTTGTGTATAGAAGGACAATGTCTCCCCCTCTCTCCCTGTAGATTTTATATCACAAATATGTCAGACTTTCAGTTCCTTTACTAAATTTGTCTCCCCCCCCCCTCATTCTCTACCTCCCATTGCACTCCCCCCCCCCCCCCCCCCCCCATTGCTGTCTTCTCCATCCCGCTTTCTCTCCCCTCTTAACTCTCCCCTTTTCTCCTCCCCACCAACTCTTCTCTTCCCTTAGTAACCCTTCCCCACCCCTTTGCTCTCCTCTCCCCTCTCCCCCCCCCCCCCCCCTCCACACTCTACTTCCTCATCTCCTAACTCCCTGCCCCTCTCTCCCTTCCCTACCTCCTTAATTGTGCTCCACTACCTCTCTCTCCTTTCTCTTCCCCCCCCCACATTGCACTCACCCCCCCCTCTATTCCTCCTCTCCCCTCTCTAGGCCCCCCCTCCCATTGCTCTCCTCTCCCTCTTTTCCCTCTCCATCTATTTCCCCATCTCCCCCCCCCCCCCCCCCCCCCCCCCATTGAGCTCCTCTTCCCTCTCTTCTCTCTCTCCCCCTCCCTTCTTTTTCTCCATCCTCTACCCTCCATTGCCCTCCTCTCTCTCCTCCCCATCCCCCTCACTCTATTGCTCTCCTCTCTCCCCCCCCCCCCCCTATTTCCCCATCTCCTCTCCCCCCGTCCCTTTCCCTCTCCTTTCTCTGCCCCGCTCCATTGTGCCCCCACCCCCCCAACTCTCCCCCTGTAGCTCTTTTATCCTCTCTCATTCTCCCATTTCTTCTATCCCCTCTCTACCCCCTCACATTGCTCTCTTCCTCCCCTCTCTCCCCTGCTTCCTTACCCTCCCCAAACCCCCATTGCCCCCTCAATTTCTGCTCCCACTCTTCTCTTCTTTCCTCCCCCCTCCCCCCCTCCTCATTTACACTCTTCCCTCCCTGTCCCCCCACTCCTTCTAATTACTCCTCCTCCCTTCTCTCTCTATCTCCCCCATTTCTTTCTCCTTTTGCTGTCCACCTCCCCCCCAGTCTTGTATACAGTATATACATATCAGAGATGGCGGTATGACACTGTGCACACCTCCTGATCCCTACTCCCCCCCAGTCTTATATAATGGCAGTAGAACACTGTGCACACCTCCTGATCCCTACTCCCCCCCCCCCCAGTCTTATATAATGGCAGTAGAACACTGTGCACACCTCCTGATCCCTACTCACCCCCCCCCCCCCATCTTATATACATAGAGATGGTATGATGGCAGAACAACACTGTGGACACCTCCTGATCCCCCCCCCCCCCCCATCTTATATGATGGTAGTATAACACTGCACACATCCTGATCCACTGATCCCTACTCCCCCCCAGTCTTATATAATGGCAGTACAACACTGTGCACACACACCTCCTGATCTCTGCTATCATTCACGCACGCCCCCCCCCAGTCTAATATAATGGCAGTATAGTACTGTGCACAACTCCCCCCCCCCCCCCCCCCAGTCTAATATAGTGGCAGTATAATACTGTGCATCCCCTCCAAGTCTAATATAGTGGCAGTATTACACTGTGCAACCCCCCCCCCCCCCCCCCCAGTCTAATATAGTGGCAGTATAATACTGTGCACAACCCCCCCCCCCCCCCCCCCAGTCTAATATAATGGCAGTATAATAATACTGTGCAACCTCCCCCCCCAGTCTAATATAGTGGCAGTATTATACTGTGCACACGCACCTCCTGATCCCTACTATCATCAGTCGCCCCCCCCCCCCCCTCCCATTAGTGGGGATCCTCTCCTCTCCGGTCCTCACACTCCGAGAAGTATGTAAAGTCCCATCTATGGGAGCTCCGCTCAGGAAGAGTTAACCCCCCCCCCCCTCCCCGAGTCCCGGTGGTCCGGCTCGGGAAGGGTTAATGCCGGTCCCGTCCCAGCTGACAGTCAGCTGATCGCCGGGTGACGGACGGCTCCCCTCCTCGAAGTTTATCTCTACTATTATGCTAATGAGGCGCGGGGTTCCGTGCTCCCATTGGCCCGCCGTCCCCAGTCCGGGGCGTGACGTCAGGCCGCCTATAAAACTCAGCAATGCTTTTAAAGTGCTCCGAGGACGGATCGGTGAGAAAATCCGGAGCGGCGGCGCCCCCTCCCCCCGTCCCCCCCTCCCGGTCCCGGGACTGACTATGAAGTGTGACTAGTCGTGGCCGCTCGCTGTAGTTGTCGTCCAGCCCGGGAGAGGCAGCGCAGCCCCCCGGCATGTCCAGCAGCAGCGGCCGCCCCTCCGCCGGGCTCCTGTGATCTCCCGATCTTCTTCTCCTTGTAGTCGTTGTATTTGGAGTTTTGGGGGGGAGCACCGATCAGCGCCCACGCTGGCTCTCCCGGTGCCCGGCCCCAGCAGCCTGGTATCACCGGTGTGGAGGGCTGCGAGCGGCAGCAGAAGGATGGCATCAGAACTGGCAATGAGCAGCTCCGACCTGCCCACCAGTCCCCTGGCCATGGAATATGTTAATGACTTCGATCTGATGAAGTTCGAAGTGAAGAAGGAGCCGGTGGAGACCGACCGCATCATCAGCCAGTGCGGCCGCCTGATCGCCGGGGGATCGCTGTCTTCCACCCCGATGAGCACGCCCTGCAGCTCGGTGCCCCCCCCTCCCCGAGCTTCTCGGCGCCCAGCCCCAGCTCCGGCAGCGACCAGAAGAGCCACCTGGAAGACTACTACTGGATGACCGGCTACCCCCAGCAGATCAACCCGGAGGCGCTGGGCTTCAGCCCGGAGGACGCGGTGGAAGCTCTCATCAGCAACGGCAACCCCCAGCAGCAGCAACAACAGCAGCAGCAGCAGCTCCAGCAGGGCGGCTACGATGGCTTCGCCCGGGCGGCGCAGCAGTACGGCGGCTCCTCGGGGGCCATGCCTGGGGAAGAGCTGGGCTCCGCCGCCGCGGTGGTCTCCGCAGTGATCGCAGCCGCCGCGCAGAACGGAGCGCCCCATCACCACCACCATCACCACCACCACCCGGGGCCCGGGGGAGGAGGAGGAGGGCTGCCGGGATCCGCCGGGGCGGGCAGCGGCGTAGTCTCCCCGGCTTCCTCCGGGATGCACCCGGCGCCCCACCACCATCATCACCACCACCACCACCTGCACTTCGACGATCGCTTCTCCGACGAGCAGCTGGTCACCATGTCCGTGCGGGAGCTCAACCGGCAGCTGCGGGGGGTCAGCAAGGAGGAGGTGATCCGGCTGAAGCAGAAGAGGAGGACCCTGAAGAACCGGGGCTACGCTCAGTCCTGCCGCTTCAAGAGGGTGCAGCAGAGGCACGTCCTGGAGTCCGAGAAGAACCAACTGCTGCAGCAAGTGGAGCACCTCAAGCAGGAGATCTCCAGGCTGCTCCGGGAGAGGGACGCCTACAAGGAAAAGTATGAGAAGCTCCTGGGAAGCGGCTTCCGAGAAAACGGCTCCAGCAACAGTGACAACCCTTCCTCTCCGGAGTATTTCATGTGAGTGTCACCCTTGAGCCCTTCCCTTCCTTCCCAATACCATGCTGACACCTGTCTGGGGGTGAGGAACCTTTACTGAACATTTCCCTTCCTCCCTGTACCATGCTGACACCTGTCTGGGGGTGAGGGATCTTTACTGAACCTTTCCCTTCCTCCCTGTACCATGCTGACACCTGTCTGGGGGTGAGGAACCTTTACTGAACTTTTCCCTTCTTCCCTGTTCCATGCTGACACCTGTCTGGGGGTGAGGGACCTTTACTGAACCTTTCCCTTCCTCCCTGTTCCATGCTGACACCTGTCTGGGGGTGAGGGACCTTTACTGAACCTTTCCCTCCCAATACCATGCTGACACCTGTCTGGGCGGTGAGGGACCTTTACTGAACCCTTCCATGAAGCCCATGCGCCATGAACTCTATTCTGTTTCTCCTTCACTCTTCCTGAAACTCCTCCTTACCCATTGGGGTGTAGGACCTTCCTAAATCCTTCATTGTCTATATGCTGCCCAGGCTACATTAACTTTTGAGCTTCCCCCATATAATTTCTCCTTGACTTTGTCTAGAAACCATTCTTGACCTCTTCTACTATGCCTACTCTGATGTGGGAGTTTACTATACCCTTCCTTGCTCATATGGTACCCATATTGCATTAACTTTTGAGCTGCCCCATGTAATTTCTCCTTGACTTTGTCTAGAAACCTATTTTGACCTCTCCTCCTATACTTTCTCCACGCGGGAGTTTTATACCCTTCCTTGCCCAACATTTGAGTTGCCCCATGTAATTCCTTCTTGACGTTTTCTAGAAACCTATCTTGACCTCTTCTACTATACCTATTTCTATGTGGGAGTTTATTATACCCTTCCTTACCCATATGGTACCCATGCTGCATTAACTTTTTCGTTCCCATGTATATTTTTCTCCTTGACTTTGTCTAGAAATCCGTCTTCTACTTCTACTATACCTATTCCGATGTAGGAGTTTACTATAACCTTTCTTGTCCATATGGTTCCCATACTGTGTTAACTTTTGAGTTGCACCTGTGTAATTTCTCCTTGACCTTGTCTGGATCCCCATTTTGACCTCTTCTACTATACCTAGTTTGATGTGGGAGTTTATTTTACCCTTGCTTCCCCAAATGGTACCTATACCACATTAAATTTTGAGTTTCCCCTGTGTCATTTCTCCATGATTTTGTCCAGAAACCAATCTTGACCTCTTGTACTATGTGAGAGCTTACTATACCCTTCCTTGCCCATATGAAGCCCATGATGTACTAACTCTTAGCCTTTATGTCATTTCTCCATTATTTTGTGTAGAAACTCAATCTGTCAACTCTTCCCTGCCTGCATGGTACCCATTAACTATTGGGTTGTCCACATGTTATTTTTACTTTGCACTTCTGCTCTCTTTTGCTACACATATTGGGGTGTGGAACTTTACTAAACCCTTCCATGCCCATATAGTGCCACTGCTGTGTTAACTCTTAGCTTCTTGGGATAAACTTGTTATTTCTTTGTCACTTTTGCTGGAAACTTATGGTGCTCTCTTCTAATGTGTGGGACCTTACTAAATATGTCCTTGCACACATGGTGCCCTAGCTGTATTAACTCTTAGTCTCTGGGGCTGATCACCTTTTTTCTCCTTCACTCTGGCTAGAAAGTATTTGTGCCCTTTTTCTAGTATGTAGGACCTTACTAAACACTGTTTTGCCCTTATGTTGCCCATGCTATACTGACTCTTAGCCTGTTGGGTTGACCACATGTCATTTTTCCTTTACTTTGTTCAGAAGCTCTACCTGGCCTATTCAACTAAACCCAGTGGGGTGAGGGACCCTTAGTAAACCATTCCATGCCTACATGGTACCCATGCTGTATTAACTCTTAGCGCCTCCATGCAAGTTTATATACTTTGTCTAGAAACTCATCCTGCCCTCTTCTCCTAAAGCTATTGAGATGTGGCACCTTACTAAACCCTTTGTTGCCCACATGGTGCTCACGCTGTATGAACTCTCAGCCCTTTGGAGTGACCACACGTTGTTTAATATTCATTTTGGTTAGAAACCTGTCCTGTGTCTTCTATACTCACTGGGGTGTAGGACCTTACTAAACTTGTCATTGCTTATATGGTGCCATGCTGTAATAACTCTTAGCCTCTTGGGGTGACCAAATGTCATTTTTCCCTGGCTCTGTCTAGACATTTATCCTGCTCTGTTCCACTATACCTACTGGGATGTGGGACCTTACTAACCTCTTCCTTGCCCACATGGTGCCCAGGCTGTAATAAATCTTAGCCTCATGGTGACCACATCTTGTTTCTCCTTCTGGCTTCAAACTCTCTTCTACTCTACCCAGTGGGGAAAGGAAATCTTACTAAACTATTCCTTGTCCACACGGTGCCCCTGTTTGTATTAACTCTGTATGTGCAGAGACTCTTCTTATTTCACATCCTTTCCTCTTCACCCTGTCTAGAAACTTGTCCCGCTCTCGTCTATTATACATAGTTGGGTGTGGGATCCTTACTAAACTCTTCCTTGTCCACATGGTGCCCCTGTTGTATTAACTCTGCATGTCCATAGACTCTTCCTCTTATTTCTCCGTTATCCTGGCTAGAAACTCATCCTGCTCTTGTTTATTATACCTATTGGGGTAGGGGACCTGTACTAAACACTTTGTTGTCTACATAGTTCCCGTGTCGTATTAACTGTTCACGTCCACAGACTGTTCGGACAGATATTTCACATCCTTTTTAGCTATCTCACATCTTATTTTTCCTCTCCTCACCCTAGAAACGTATCCCACCATCTTCTACTATATCCAGTGGGATATGAGATTTTATTAACCCTTTTCTTGTCCACATGCTGTATTAACTTTGCATGCTCAAAGTCTCTGGTGGTGACCACATCGTATTTCCCCTTCTCCCTGGCCATAAACTCATCCTGCCCTTTTCTTCTGTCCTCAGGAGCTGGCCTTAGCCTGAACTCGTGTCCCCTTTAATTCCCTAAAAGTTCCTACACCCCCCCCCCCACCCCTTAAAACGACAGTCCATTTTCTAACATTTTTCTTTTCTGTTCTGCATTAATTTACCTTGTCCCTTCTGTATATCATAGTCTTGCATGCCCATCTGTTATAATCACAGCTCAATTCTGGTGCACTTTGAAAAGTTGGAAGGACTTTTAGCAGAGCAGCCAGCAGTTCTAGGCAGTTGTATTTCCAGGGACAGTTCCTAGTAATGATTGGTCCTTGCAGACTGCTGTCCCATGTTTTCATGACTGGGCAGCTGCACAAAAAAAATTCTAAACACTGACTATAAATAATTACTCGAACATCTAAATAAAATTAGTATTTAGCATTGAGATGTTCAAGTTATTTTGAATTGTGGGTCAGTGTTTAGGATGCAATCATTTAGAATAATAAATAGTTAATAGATGGGGATCTAGCTTTTCTCTTTGAGACACTATTTTGCAAGCTGGACCATGACTAGCCTAATGCCAGAGTGTCCCTAGAATTTATTTTAAAGTGTTTGCAGCGATGCTTTATTTTTCGGGAAGGTGGCAGGGATGCTTAGTAAACTGAACATTTCCTAATATAAGGGAGCAGTCAATTAATCTCTTCCATCATACCCATCCTACACTAGCCAGTTCTACACCTTCACACATTAGAACTTTGTCTTAGTTGGCTACTCACAAACCTAAGATAGCAACTTGTGATTTTGAGTCACGCTTTTTTTTTTCTATGAAAAAAAAGCGTTTTTTTTTCTTTCGAAAAAGCCGTCCATTCAAAAGATCATTATTGCTAAAAAAAATCAAAGATTAATTTTTTTAACCATTTTCCGCCAAGCGGAAAACTTTTTTTTTCAATCGAACGATCTCATGCAATACACATGCTTTTGCTGTATCTAGAAGCACTTTCTCGGTATTGCCTTTTACTGTCATGTGTGCATTCTGTCTGCCTGAGGAAGTCATTAGCGTTCGTAGAAAAAATAGTTTGCATGAAACTCTATCAGGGAGGAAACAGCCTCAAGTCTTGCTGTCTTGTGTCAATGAGTAGCCTTAGTCTTGAGGACTTTTACCCAAACAAGCAGCCCATATAAGATAGATATCAATCTTAACTGCTTCGGTGAGCTGTAATGAAATCTTTAATTGCTCATATTAAAGCTGCATCACCGGCTAGACACTTGGCAGTGTACTAATTTAGGCAATAGTATTACCTTGGCATGCTTTATATCTCATATATCATGGAGATATATTGTAGGGGTGTGCTAAAAAAAAATGTATTGAGGTCCTGTTCACTTTTTTTTTTTTTAACTTTTTCTGCTGTAGAAATATAGAAGCAACAATGTACACACTGCATTCGAAACTTTGAAGTTTTTACAGTTAGCTGTCTTCAGTTGTTTTATTTCCTATACTTTTATTACATTGGGTGGGTTCTTTTAGGTATTTTATTTTACTGCTTTCTTTCCATGCTTTTCTGGGCTTGCCTTACACCTATCTAACTCCCCTTTTGCACTCATATGAAGATTACTCTTTAATACCATCCGCTTTACATTTTTTCCTATTTTGTTTTGTTTTTAAGGTCATGAGTTTATGAGCTTGCTGTGTCAAAGACAGAAAGAAAGAGAAAAAAAGCAGAATTGTTGCCATCCCGAGTCCTTCATATGAGCTTGCAATAAATAAAAAAAAAAAAAAAAAATGTGAATTTTTAGACTGTCTCGCTGAATTCATCATTTTGAGAGTTGCTGACCTAAAACAAACAAAAAAAAAAATGAGGAGATGACGTGTAAAGCAACCTGCCAAAATGAAGCCTCTTCATCAAAACTTCAGTTTTTTTTCATGTGACTTTATGGCCCAGAATGACTGAAACTGGCCTGCCATTAAAATCCATGCTCATCTCATGCATTGTGCTTGCTGTTATGTCTTGGCAACAAAGAACTGTAAATGTCATAAGACTTTATGGAAAAAAAATAGACAATATATTATTAAGAAGGCCCTGCATGCTGGACATGTATGGT